CTGGGTGTACTGCGTTGGGCTGGCTTGTGTGGATTTCATGCCGACTGGAGCATGCCTGCTTTTGCAATGGCGCTGTGAACTCTGGGTCGCACATGGACGAGGTGCGACGCAAGACGGAGTTTTGTCAACAGGCGTGTCAATCTGCCCATTGACAAAGTCCGAAGATTCGGCATGCAAGGGACTGTGCCTGAGTTTGCATGTGCTGTGCAGGATGGCGAGGTGATTGCTCAGTTACCAGGAGAAGTTCCGTTTGAGGCGAGCGCCCTTGGGCTGGCAGGGACAAGGAGGTCGGAAGGTTGCAGCAGATAAGTACGACAGTTCCTGTGGCATGTGGGCGTAGAATCTAGGCAGAGTACTGTAACGGGCAACACTGGAGTTGTTGAGAATGCAGCATGTACTGTTAGTGGACTCGCTTGACCCGGCGTTTGCTCACGGGGATAGTTTTGGAAGCAAACATAAGGTATGTACCGAAGACGGCATGATCTTGGAAGCCAATCATTACAGTATGGCAAGCAGCCCTATACATGCGACGGCCTTATGCACATGCGTCCGCAGCCATGTGTTTTTCAGGTCCAGCTGGCTTCCACACTGCTACCCCGGATCGGAACACCATCTCTGCACAGCCACTACCATCAGTGGAACAAACAACTGCAAGGCCCAAGGGCTGGTGTGCGCAAGTTTGGCAACTTGCTGTTGTCCCCATGATTGCTCGTGCTCGTCTGATCACGATCATCCGATAGATATTCATGCTTTATGCTTCATGTCACTTCCATTGTTCCTAGCTGCTAGTTTGTTGCACGTCCTTTTTGTCATTGAGTTTTCATTCGGAATCGATTGTTATGGTTGTTGCTACAAGCATTAGGCTTGCACTTCCAAGGGCCGTCCGACGTTTGACCATGGTAGTCGTTGCAACGTTCATGCCGTGTGACCTGTTGAAGACTTCCAAATTCATCATTGGGCTGCAGCTGGTCGGTTGAGCCAGGCCTGCGTGTGATGTGTATGTTTGCAATTGAGACTTGTGCTGGTCACAACTCCGTGCTCAGTCTGTCGGATCTGCACTTCAGCTTTGTACAGCCCTCAAACCCCAGACCCTCGACCCCGAGGAGTCAGATGGCCTGCAGCAAAACAGACAAAGCAAACTCCAACCCAAGAGCCCATGAACCCCAAACCCCGAAAGGGTCGGTTCCCCAAGCAGAAAGAAAAGCAACTTGTCGATCTGGTACCGTAAAGAAAACAGTGGGTCGACGAACACAGAACAACTCTTCGAGTTGATTCGTTGAGACAAAGGTTTCCGTCGAACAGACCCTAAGCCCTAAGCCCTAGTCCCCCACCCCAAGAGCCTAAAGCCCTAGTCCCCCACCCCAAAAGCCTAAAGCCCTAGACCCTGAACCCTAAACCCTAAAAGCCCAAAGCCCTAAACACTGAACTCGCCGAACCCTAACACGCTAAAACCCTAAACCCCAAAACCCCAAAACCCCGAACCCTAAAAATCTACAAACCCTACAACCCTAAACCCCTAAACCCCGAACCCTAAAACTCTACAAACCCTACAACCCTAAACCCCTAAACCCCGAACCCCTACAACTCTACAAACCCTACGACCCTAAACCCTAAACCCTACAACTCTACAAACCCTACGACCCTAAACCCTAAACCCTACAACCCTAAACCCCGAAACCCGGAACCCCGGAGTTTGGAAGAAGTCGTGAGGCTCCCGCGGGCAGACGCCATGCAGCCAGCCGGGCTGGGGACTCGTACCGTATCATCGTGTTTGGGGTTTAGGGTTTTGAGGGTTCTGAGGGGTTTTGAGGGTTTTGAGAGTTTTTAGGGTTTGTGGGTTTGGGGGTATAGGGTTTAGGTTCGGGATGCGGCAGTATACTAAGGGACTCTAACATACCATAGTCGATTAGACAGCCGTGTTTAACTACGCTAACTTATTTAAGCAGATTACAATCAGGCTCTGATCTGTCAAGGGCTGTGACGCCGGTCCGACATAAATTCAAGCTGGGATACTTTGTTAGGCCTACACTGAACTACCCTAAACCCTAAACCCTAGTTTGGGACGTCATGGACCAGAACGGGGGAGTTTCTCTCGAGGTTCCGAGTTTCGTTCGACGCTTTCCTCGTCACTCTCTTCTCTGAGGCCAGCTGCAAGGGTTTAGGGTTTAAGGGTTTAGGGCTTAGGGTTTAGGGTAAAGACTGCATAGGAGTGCAGAGCAGTCTGAGAGACTTGCAGAAATCTGCAGAAGACCAAGAAGCTGAGGCGACGTGTGCTTTTGCAAAAATTCAGGCAGGCGAAAGTGGTGCTTCATGTTCCCATGGCAGAAGCATTCTGCACATGGACGGTTTCAGGCTTCACACCCCCGCATCGTCTTACAACACACACACACACATACACGCACATGCACAACATGTGTGACATTCTGCTGAAACTGAGCTTCAGACGCTGCTCCGAGGCGGGAGTTATCGGAGCGATGCTGTTGCTGCTGCTTTGGCTTCTGCTGTTACGTACAGCTAGGCTGAGACGGTGATTGCTCCTGCAAGCACCGTGTGACATTGCGAGGGTCAGCCATTTTTTTCCGGGATCATGTCGGACAAGCTATCATGACTGCCATCTCTCACCCGTCTTTGTGTCTTCCCGGCGCTGCAGCTAAAAGGCACCGATGCGGACAACCAGGAGCTGGCAGCGTAGCTGACACCTTGCCAAACGTGTTGCGACATATCACTTTGATGTTAAATCATTCTGTTCTGTTCCCTCATGGGGCTGTCACGCTTCGGTGCCTTCGGGCATCTTGTTGCAGGCCGCATCTCATCAGCCGGGAGAGGCCGCTGTAAGCGAAGTAAAGTTTCTGCTAAATCCATGCTGCCTTGGAACCCCACACTCCCTGTCGTCCACGTCGTATCGGTTGTGGTAATGATTGCTATGATCACAGTTGGGGTGGTGGTCGTGGTATGGAAGTTGCTGGGGTCGTTGTTTTGGTGGCGCTGGTAGTTGAAGTGGCGACTGCCGCTGCTGCTGCCGCCGCTGCTGTAGCAGTTGCTATTGCTGCTATTGCTCTTGTCAAACAGGCCGATTCATTGGTTCAGGAGTGAGAAGTGTGCAGCTCACTGGGTAGAGCTTTCCGTGGCCCGGAAAGGGACGGTATTCCAGCGGAATCAGGGAGGCCATTGTATCGGGCGGACTAGCTTAATGAAGCCAAGCAGTTCTTTGAATCGGGTATGGCCTGTCAATGCTTCGCAACACGCAAGGTCCCATTCCCCTAAACGGCCTCTACAAACCCCAAGCTCTAACAAAACCCCGAGCCCTAAGCCCAAACCTAATCGCCAGGCCGCCCACGACCGGCCCGCCTCTGGACCGCCGGTCGGCGCTTCAGGCCGTTGGGTTTCCCACCGTAGGGCTTTCAAGGGCCTTCCGAGGTTCAGGATTTGTAGAGGGTTCCCAGGGTTTAGGGCCTTTAGGGTTTGGGCAAGCTACTAACCCTCATCGAATGCTGGGCATCCAGATCTTTCTTGTTTAGGGAGCTAACCTTCCGGTAGAGGAAATGCCAGTGCACGTGGTGCGCTCGGAAGAACGATCGATGCTTCTGGGGCTTTTACGGTCTTTCTCTGGAAAGCTGCAGTTCACAGTGCCCTGGGTAGTACCCCGAACCTGGAACTCGATCGGCAGATAGAGATAACCAATCCATGAGGTCGATCCGGAGTGACTGAAGATGATATGGACTCACTGTTAGCAGCCCTGGTCGCTGTGGAGAAGAGAGAGACTGCTGATGTCCGGGTCAGGTGGAAGATACCCGGAAACTCCCCATGACTTTAGATCTTAAGCCCGAAGCCCTGTACCCCTATAGCCCAAAACCCTTTCTCCCAAGCCCTAAACCCTATATACCTTAAGCCCTACAGCTCCGAAACGCCATGACGTTGGATGAGGGTGAGGCGGAGAACGCCATGGCGGTTGGATGGGGGGGGGAGGGTTCGGGGGCCCTAAACCCCAGCCCCAAACCCAACAAAACCCCAAACTCTAAACCCTAAACCCCAAACCCAACAAAACCCCAAACTCTAAACCCTAAACCCAAAACCCCAAAAAACCCCAAACTCTAAACCCTAAACCGTGGGGGAGGGGGGGGGACAAGGGGGGGTTTTCCGCCTCCTTCGACTCAACTTCGGCCCTGGGTGTCCGGATTTAAGGGTTTAGGGAAGTTTAGGAGTTTAGGGGATTTAGGGAATTTAGGGATTTAGGGGTTTGGGTTTTAGGGGTTTTAGGAGTTTTAGGGGATTTAGGGGATGAAGGGTTTAGGTTTCAGGGGTTTAGGGTTTAGGGGTTCGTTTCAGCCCAGTGGGTGAATCAGTGAAGCCAAGCCTGGGTTTCTGCAAGTTGGAAGAACTTATCCTCTGCTTGCAGGCTCATGTGTAGCGATAAGTGGAGTTATAAGTCCCCTAAGCCTAAGGGGGATTAAGTTATGGTTACCCTACTTATAACTCCACGTATAACTACCCATGAACCTCCAAGTACACGCCCTACAGTTCGCATGCTCCTCGAAAGGCCTCGCGGCCCTACACCGTGATACAAGAGACGATCAGGCTGTGGTGGTGGTGCTCCGGGCACCGGGTTGAATGCTAGGGGTTGGGGCAGGGACTCAGATTCGTTTTCAAGAGTTTTCGTACAGGCAGGGGTGCCTTTGTCTTGTATCCTGGCTGCCGCAACTCTTTACCCGAGTCTTAGGCTATCTCCCCATCTGTCCAGCTTCTATCTAGCCTCTAGCTGGCTGCTTATCACATCTACCTGTCCATCACAAGACAGAGACCCATGCACTTTGAGACCTTGGTAATATGGGAACCTGATTAAGAAACCCTGGGTCTTTGTTAGGGGTCTTTATATGAATCCCAATGCCACTGGGGCTACAGCGCCATGGTTTCTTAATCAGGTTCATACATTACATCTCACCGCGATGTGCCTCACCCTGGGCTCGAGGCTGTGAGGTTTACTTTGGGTTCGCCGGGCCGCCATGGCGAAGACGTCCGAAGCGAGGTCCGGGCCGAGACCAGCTGCGAAGCCAAAGGTTCGCTTTGACCCCAAGGAGGCCTCGGCTGAAGATGAGCTGGAGGATTATTACGAGAAGTTGAGCGAAATTTCTCGGAGACTCTGCCAGGGAGTCGAGGCCAAGGACGAGAGAGCCTTGCAATGGTCTCGACTGCTGGATGCGTCCTTGAACTTCAAGCTGCCGTGGAGGGACAGAGAAGTCCACCTGCGGGTGCTGTACCACTGCTTGTATGGCCTTGTGGACACGAAAGTGTTTCCCAGCGTGCCTACTGCGCTGCTGACGCAGCCCTGCTCGGTGGAGGGGGCGGAGACGCGTGTCGAAGCCAACATTGAAGCCAGTGTTTGACTCCGCATTCCTTTCATTCTTTGGTCCACAGCCCTAAAGGCCCTAAACCCTAAACCCTAAAGGCCCTAAAACTTGATCCACTGGATTTGTGTCCTAAATTCTCAGAACCGGCTTGCGGAACAAAACCCGCCGCCTCTCGGGGGCTCCTCGGAATTGGAGGTTTCCGAAAATAGGGGACCCTAATATAGTACCCTAAATAGTAGGATCCTTATGATAAGGACCCCAAAATAAGGTACCCGGTACCCTAATTTTCGGAAAGTCCAGCCCAGGAGAGCCTGCGCATTTCTCTGCCGGAGGCGCTGAAACAGCTCTCCACTCAGAGGCATCCTGGCGCCTACTTCCTCCTCACCTGCCACCTGGGCAAGGAGCGGGGGAGGGCCGGCTTTTTAGGCTTCAAGGGCTCTTGTTCATAGTTTTCGGGTAGAGATATGAGAGTTTAATGATTCGGATTGGGGTTGCAGAGTCCGGCATATGTGGGGTTTAAGGTGCATCATTCAGTATCTCCGAAGTTTCGGGGGCGAGCGAATTGGGTTGGGACCTTCAGATCAGAGCTGTGGGTAAAGTTGTGGTCCCGGGTCTTTGGCTCTGGAGGTTCTGGGGTGTCATGTTCCTGACCCTGACCTCATGTGTAGGCTCCGGCTCGATCTGTCTGCCGGAGCTACAAAGTTTCCTAGGGACGCGGGTGTGTGTGTGTGTGCAGGATTAGACATGGAGCACTCAGATCTGACATCCTACGGTTGATGATTAAGACCCTGCATTACCTTAAGGACCCTAAACGATGGGAATTATCGTATATTCCTTATTATGGGTAACGCAGGATTTATATCATCAACCGTAGGTCTATCGGAAAGATCGCCGCAAAGGAAAGCAACCCTAAACCCTAGACCCGAAAGAAGGGCCTAAAGAAGCGGACTGTCTGCTTCCCCAAGACATGCAGCAGCCCTTCCTGAACCTTCTAAGTGGGTCTTGCAGTTTTCAGTTGTGGTATTTTGTAGATGCTGCCCTAAACCCTAAACTCTAAACCCCCCAAAAAAGCCTTCTGTTTTCTGCCAGGAGCGTCTGCCTGCCTGCCAGGGTTTTCCCTGGCTCACCTTTGGAGTTCTGCTGCTGCTGCTTGGGGCGCCTTGGATCGGGGGTTTAGGGGTTTAGGGTTTAGGGTTTAGGGTAGAAGCCTTCGAAGAAACCCCAGCCTTTGGCAGCCTTGAAGCCCAAAGTTGAACATGTTCAAAGAGCTACACGCTCTACACCGTCAACATTTCCGCAACAAATTGCCGAGACTTGTTGCCTCCAAATGGAATCCGACAAAATTTAAGAAAAAGAAATAAACATCCCAAGCTCAAAAAAAAGATTCCTCATCCATCCTCATCCACTAAAAGTCTGACGCTGGAATCCCCTAAGCCTTAAACCCTAAACCCAGACCCTTTTGAGCATTGTTTCGTCGAGGTCCTCTGCGGCCCCAACAGGGCCGAACGTCCGGTGGCGGTGCGATCACAAACCTGGAGCGAGGACGGGAAGCCCCATAGGGTTTAAGGTTGAAGGTTTAGGGTTGAAGGTTTAGGGTTAGCAGCAGCAGCATCAGTAGTTGCAGCGGCAGCGGCAAGAGCAGGAGCAGGAGCAGTAGCAGTGGCAGTAAAAGCTCGTTGACCGAAGAAGTAAACCGCAAGACCAAGGCCGTGAGTCCAAAGCAGCAAAAGGTGAGCCACTTCCCCACTGCGCAAGCGGGTGCCGCGCAGACAGAGTCTGGTCCGCAATTGATATTCCCTTCTCTCTCCTTCAGCACTTTTGGGGTGTGGAATTTAAATTTAAAGGTTGAGGGTTGGGGGAGTCTTTAGGATTTCCGTGTTCTGGGTTTTGGGGGTTTATGTTTGAGGTATCGGACTTAGCGGGTTTGGTCTGGAGCTTCGGTTTTTGGGGTTTTGGGCTTTGGGTGGCTTTGGGTTTAGGGTTTAGGGATTTGTGGTTCGGGGTTGTTTGGGTCTTTGCAGATTTAAGTTTTGTATCTGTCTACGGATTCAGGTTTGGGATGGCTTATCTTCTTGTATTAGGGTAATTCTCTAAAGTAGGGTCCCTTTAAGGGTCCGTCTTACAGGGTTTAGGGTTTAGGGTTTAGGGCAATCTCCTTTATGTCATTGACCCTCCATCGTTTGGCGGCGCCTTGGGAGATGTGACGTGGATATAACATTGGCTTGCAGGTCGTGGATGTGGCATGGGGGACGTCATGCTGGGTTGTAGCACGGATCGACTGCTCTTGGAGGGGTCCGAGTGGACTGTATTTGGGGTCCCGCCGCATATTTCCTGGCACGCGCATACAGAGCCAATAGCATGTTCATGTGCGTTTGCGGATGTCGTCGTATGGACACTATTATAGTGGATGCACTGGCAAGACGGAGTGGCTGCTGGCAAACAACTGCGGGTTGAGGTTGAATATTATCTACTTCGGTTCTGTTCTCGTCATGATTGTTGACGACACTGTTGCTAAGTTAGAATGATGCTGGTCCTATTCTGCTAGAACGCTGAATGTTGGGACGGGAGGCAGGCGATTTCGAGTGTGACGTTTGGCGCTTGGTTCCTGCCTACGCGCCGCAAGTCCCAACCCCGCCCCTGCCGTACCAAGAACCCGTAAGACATGATTTTGAGCTTTGACCCTCCACGCTAAACCCTCAAGGGCCCTAAACCTTTCCGCAGTCCCAAACCTCATACCCTAAACCCTAAACCCTAAAACCCTAAACCCCCCAAACCCAAAACCCTAAAACCCTAAACCCCACAACCCCTAAACCCTAAAACCCTAATTCCTAAAACCCTAAACCCTAAACCCTAAAACCCTAAACCCCTAAACCCCTAAACCCTAAACCCTAAACCCCAAACCTCAAACCCCAAGCCGTCGAAATCCGTCAGCTCAGAGGCCGCTGCCGCTCCTCTGCTGCTCGGAGGTGCCTTGCTCGCTCCTCGGCGTAGCCTCGCTCCGTCGAAACACCGAGGGTTTAGGGTTTAGGGGTTGTGGGGTTGTGGGGGTTGTAGGGTTTAGGGTTTAGGAGTTTAGGGGTTGTGGGGTTTAGGGTTTAGGGTTTAGTAGACCAGGGCAGTGGTAGGCATGCCTCGACCCCAAAACCCCCAAAACCTCATAAAAAAGTGAGGGCTGTTGTCGGGCTCTGATTTGGGCTCAGCTTTTGGGGATCCGAAAAGCACTGCGTAAGGAGGTGAAAGTGAAAGCCGATTTCGACAAGTCATATAGGGGCCAAAATAATTACCAACAGTATTCCGTAGGGTTCTGGGTAAATATCAGGTACTCCTTGTTATAGTTATAGGTATACTATGAGGCACCACAAAACCCTATTCCAATTCTTAAGGTCCCTAAATAAGCACGATTTGAGCGGGGCGAGGAAGCTTTGAGTCGTATTCGCATGCGTTTGAGTTGTAGTCCAGCCGGGGCAGCCAGAGCCAAACCCCAAACCCGGCGCAGCCAGAGCCCCAAACCCCAAACCTTAAACCCCAAACCTTAAACCCTAAACCCTCAAGCCCAGGATAAATACAAATTGTTTAGAAAGTCAATCGAGCAAAAGCAAAAAGCAAGACCCGCACAAAACCCGGTCAAAACCCGCACAAAACTCAGACCTGAACCCTAAACAATTTGTATAAACCCTAAACCCGAGACCCCAAACCCTTGGCCGGCCGGTAGAACTGCGCACCGCGACGAGGTGACGCTGCGCCGGACGGCTTCCAGTCGGACCCAGGTCTATCGCTTGCGCAGGGTTTCTGGTTTGTTTTTTTTTTCAAGGTTTTCGGGGTTTTAGGATTTTAGGATTTAGGGTTTGGGGGTTGTGGGGGTTTAGGGGTTTAGGGCTTAGGGCTTAGGGTTTATAGGGTTTAGAGTTTCGGGAGGCAGCTTAGAGCGTCTCCATGCGACTCCGGGCTCGGGGTTGTAGGGCGAGCGCTTTTGAGAAGCTCAGTCAAGGGACTAAAGGAGAGACCCTTAAAGGGACCCTTTGGGTTATCTAGGGGCGTTATGAGACAATATAAGGGGTATATAAGGGTTATATAGGGTATTAGGATTGGGGGTTCCCTTCTAGGGGTCCCTCCTGTTGTCCCTTGACTCAGGGTTCAAGAATTGCTTTGTTCTCCCGGCCAGAGCAGCCATCGGATGTGTCCGGCGCTTGAGCGGCCTTCTCCTTCTGAAGTCGGTGTGGAATCTGCCAGTCCGAGCATGCTACTGAACCTAGCAACTTGTCCTGTGACCTCCGCAAACTTACCGTGCCATTCCTTGTCTCTCCGGTGGAAGAGATATTAGACAGTGCTCCACAGCTCGTGAAGTGCATCCATTCTGCGACAGTGTACTTCGTTCCCAAGCCCACTTACAGGCCAGACCACCCAGTGCACCAGGGAGGCGTCCTAAACCCCACACCCTGAGTCGCCCCTTTTGAGGACTGGAGTCTGCTGCTTTGCCTGGGTATGTTGAGCCTCGGCGCCGCGAAAAGCACCTCGGATTTCCAGGTTTCGGAGGACAAAGGTCTTGCGTTCCGGGGCTTCGAGCTCCAGGCTCTCAGTAGGAGTATTTGTCGTTTTCGTCGTAGGAGTGGAGGTAGTAAAACAGAGCAGCAGCAGCAGGAGGAGGAGTCGTAGCAGCAGCAGTGTAAGCAGTAGCGGCCGAGAAGGAGGAAGTCGTGGTCGTCGACGTCTTCATCATGGTATTTGCAGTAACTGTCGTGGGACAAAAGGTAGCAGGAGTGCACACATTCTGGATCATAATCATAGGGACATCAACACCTGAAATTTTGTAGTGGCACTGATACAGACGGGTTCGATCGCATGCTTATGCGAGCTGCTCAATGCATGTACGAGGTTCCGCAGGCACTATACACCTTCGTTTACACACTGCACTTCCAACATGCTAACCTTTCTTAGCCTCAAGGGCTCAGATTTCTGAGGTGATGTGCGCTTCAGACACGAGAGTACGCATTTCTCCGCAAGCTGCGTCACAAGCTGCGAAGGGCAGGAGCTACTGCAGGGACGTGTCATCTTCTTACTGTTAGAATCTTCAGCGTCTAGACCCTAAGAGCCTACGGAACTGCGCTCATTTTCCGTTCAGAGAGAAGGTGAATTCTTCAAGAATACCAGCAGACATCTGAAGAGCCTGGAACTGCAGTCGGGTTAGTGGGTGCTATTTTCGTCGATGTTGCAGAAAAGCCTGCTTGCAGAAACTACTCGGTCACTCGTAGGTTGGACACAGCCGACCGGATGCTGATGTGCTAATCCTTTGGTGACTGCACTCGTAACTAAGATGTTGACTCTTGCACCGAAAAAGTAGACACCGTTGCCTGTGTAACCCTTAACACAGAGCTTCATCGCAAAAAGTGGCGAGCCCATCATCACCCGTGTCACATTTCGAGCCATGATTCCAGTCCTGAAGCCCTACGCCTAACCCTCAACCCTAAACCTACAATCGAAAAATCTTGAACTGCACTCCCGAAGCCCTAAGCTCCAAAGTTTCGACCCCGGGCCAGGATGCCGAGAGGGGCTCAACGAGCCTGGCCCTGCCACTGCCCCGCGAGCCTCCCGCTACGTGCCTTGGGTTTAGGGTTTAGGGTTTACCTGGGATTCGGGGGTCGTATATGCTCTACATACAGTCTCCGTGGTCGTTCATGTTTGGGGTGACCTTCTAGGATCCTAACTATAGATTTGGTTAAACCAAACAAAGGAGCTACAATGGAGATTGTAGGTAGTACAAAACCCTCTTTAATTTCAGCAGAGTTTCGGTGTGTAGTATACTGTAGTTACTAAGATTTTTCAATGGGATGCCATTAGGGTAGAGGAGCCTCCCCAAGCATGACGAATCCAGTCGAAGTCGCTGTACACTAGGGCCACTAGGGTTTAGGGTTTAGGATTTAGGGTTTAGGGTTTAGGATTTAGGGTTTAGGGTTTAGGGTTCAGGTTCTCAAGATAGGAATCCACGCGCACTCCGGGTTTCCGCTACTTCCGGTGGTACCCAGAGAGCCCAATGCCCCTTA